TGGATGTGTCGGCAGGGCGGCAGTGCCCGGTTCTCTGCGGGCCAGCACAGGCCGAGGCCATCAGGGGCCACCTTGCGACCCTCTCGGCCCACTTAAGTGCTGCTGAGGCCGCCAGCACCGGCCCCGTGTCCTCCAGCGAGGTTGTACCCACAGGCTGGAACCTCTGCACCATCGTTGGGGTGCTGCTGGGCTACCCGGCGACATATACCTTCTCCATGGAGGAGAGCACTGAGAACTGCCTGGCGCTGATGCCGCTGAGGGTGTTCACAGCCCAGGCCTCCTGCCCCAGGATAAAGGACAGTCTCGGGGTCCAGATCTACTCCTTCAGCATCCCAGAGAGCCTCTGCGGGGAGCTGAAGGAGGCGCTGGATGCCTGGCGTGACGAGCTGAAGGAGGCTTTCAGTGCACAGAGTGACTTTGTAGGTCTCTGCATCTCGAGCGAGGTGGTGTCTCTTCCAGCGGTTGCCTTGTAAAACACAAGCAAGCTCAGACTTCTTGGCCTTTCTCACTTGCATCATGGACTCAGGGGAGAGATCCTGTTCCCTGTGAGTGAATTGTGATGCTCTCGGGCCCCAAGCTCGTAGGCTGGTTGCAAATCAAATGCATGTGCTTCGCAGAAAACCAGCGTGGATGTACACGTGTTGTGGTTTAAGCCTCCATCCTGACTGAAGAGACTGCCCTGTGAAGTCAGGTTCTATTTATTTGCTGCCAATGGCTGAGGATTAATAAAGTATTGGAACACCGAAGTATCTTGCCTTTGTGAAGGCTCCCTATTGTACCTACCACTTGTGCAGGGTGCTGTCATGCACCACCTTGTAGCTCAGCCTGCACTTGAATGAGGGGCAGGTGCTGCTGTAGAACCTGCACCATGCAGCTCCAAAAGGGGCTTAAACCCATGTCTTGGTTGAACTAACGTGGTGCTAGCAGTGAAAGGGAAGCAGATGTGGCTGTGGGGATGCTTGGCCACAAGACAGGCTATCAGAGCGGTGGGCTGAGCTGGGCACACTAGGTGGGAGATGGGAAAACTGCTCAGTGCATGAAGGGACTGTGCTAAAATACCCCCCTGAGCTGGGCTTCTTTGTCAGGTACCAGTAGAGATGGTCTAGAGCTGAATACCTCCCGTTTAGGGAGGAAATAAAGGAAGAGAATCCTGTAGTCCTCTTGTGCATGAAAACCAGGGAGTCTGGATCCCAAGGGTGTGGGATACCCCATCCCTGCCACCCTGCGCAGGCCCCAGCAGTGGTGGCTTTGTCCCTCAGCGCTGTGGGGACTGGGCAGCACAACTTTCAACTGGTGCAAAGCAATCGAAAGAGCCAAGGGAAGGGGGATCTCCAGCCTTTATTGGAGTTTGTCTGGAGTGAGGCCGGCTCAGGGAGGCACTAAACACCTAAGTACAAACAGCAGAAGGTGCACTGCGGCAAGGGCATGTTGCTGGCGGTGATGAAGTCAGTTCCTGCAGTGAAGTCCCTCATCGAGAAGGTCTCTCATGATCTATAACTTGCAAGGAAGGTGGTGATGGCCATTGCTATCACTGCCACCAGGAGAGGGACCCAGTGACCGCGCCGTCGCTGCAAGGAGAAGCGAATGTTACTGGGAAATTGGCAGGAACAAGAAACTTCCCATCCCTAGCAAACATGTCAAAATGGGAATGTTTATCTGAGACCCTGGAGCAGCCTTCCAATACCTAAAGAGGCCCGCAAGAAACCTGGAGAAAGACATTTACAAGGGCCTGTAGCAAGAGGACAAGGGGGAATGGCTTTAACTTGCCAGGGGGGAGATTGAGATGAGCTCTTAAGCAGAAGCTCTTCCCTGTGAGGGTGCTGAGGCGCTGGCACAGGGTGCCCAGAGAAGCTGTGGCTGCCCCATCCCTGGCAGTGTTCAAGTTGGACACAGGGGCTTGGAGCAACCTGCTCGAATGGAAGGTGTCCCTGCCCGTGGCAGGGGTTGGAGCTGGAGGAGCTTTAAGGTCCCTTCACCCCAAACCAGGCTGGGGTTGTATGATTTTTGCCAGACCAATCTGCAGCCCCAGTCTAAAGGCACTGGGAGCTGGGGCAAGGAACATCTCCCACCTTTGCCTGCTTGCTCCGGAAGTGGTTGAGCTCGTCCCGGCACTGGCACAGCCTGCTCAGGCAGGAGCGGTATTCCTCGCTCAGGGCCTCCAGCTCCAAGCGCAGCTCCGTGCACTGCAAGCACAGCAAGGGGCTGTTAGCAGGAGGGATCCCCTCTTTCCCGTACCCACTGACAGCAGCAGGGCTCCCGCAGAGGCCGCAGCGCTCCGCTCATGCACGGGCACTGCGGTGATGGGGGATTTTCACTCCTGCCTTCTCTATGTCCATCTGTACCTACAGGGGACAGAGCAGATCTCGGTGTTACTGGGAATGTGGTGATGCCACAGCCTGTTGCCGTCCCGTGACCTGCTGGACTTTGCTGCCATCTTTCACACCACATGGGAGAGGGAAGCAATAGTTATTTTTGTGACCATGGAAGTGTGCAGGTCGGGAGGAAGATGTGGAGTGCAAACTCATGGCAGAGCTTGCCTCTCATTCTCAAATTCATTCTACATTTCACTGACTGCAAGAGCAATTACAAAGTCCTTTAAACCGCTTGAGACATGGGGCAGGTTGTGCTGCACAACCCCAAAACCCAGGGAGCACCTTTTGACCTGGACAACGTGGGACCCTGTTGCCTTCCTGATGAACAGTACATTAGCAGAAGAAGCTGCAGGAGCTGATGTGGGAGTAACTGAGTCCCCCCAGCTGTTTCCTTTTTGCTGTGATTGTGCTTTATAAAGCCCTTCCCCAGGTGATGCTGGGTGATGCCCAGTGATGGTGGTGCAGTTGGAGCCTGGGTTACTGGGACAAGCTCTTCTCCTGTGTGGCTGTAAGTTCTGCTATGGTAAGTTATAAATTCTTATTTATAAATCCTTGCTATCTGATTACTGCTATAAGAGCTGTGGGGCTGTTTGTTGGCAGAGGGCATGGTTTGGTGGGAAAGACAATGCAAGAGGCTAGAAAGCTTTGAAATTTTGGATCCCAGTTGTAAGGACATTGGTTTTGTTTGCTTTGTTATTTGTAAGCCTTTTATTTTCCTTCTTGCCTTCTTTGTGCTCAGTGTTTCAGCTCTTGAAGTGTGGATTTGGCTTTTCTCTGTGAGACTGAGACTCTACTGTCCATGAGTTTGTACTGAGAGGGCTCTGCTGGTGCTACCCTGCATGCAGAGGCTGCACTGGGGGCTTAGGTGATGCTGGTATTGGGATAAAAAATCAGGAGAGAGAATCCTTACAGGAGATTCCAAGCTTAGGTTACTTCCCAGAGCTTTGGTGTGTTGTGTTGTGCTGCTGCTGGAGTGCTTACACCAGCACCTGTGATTCAGTGACTTCCTCACCTCATTCTCCTTTGCTGTAAGCTGGAATGTCCTTTTCTGCATCTCATCCTTCAGGTTTTCTTCTCCCCTCTCCTCCTCCTCGGGGTGCTCTAACAGAGAGTTTTGTTTCTCCTTGGCAGGAGGGAGAGGTGAGGTCTGCGTGGTGAAAAGCTGGTCTAGAAAACAGTCAGGCTTCTGGTGAGAAACAGGTCTGGGCTTTCAGTTTGCTTTAGATCTTGTTTACTCAGAGTAATTTAAAGATAATATTTGTGTGCTACACACAGCAGAGGACACAGGAGCTGATTTAGTTATCATAGGCCTGCCTCTGCTATAGCAACAAGTTAATCATTTTTAGAGGGATTTCTAAGTAGTTGCCAGAAATGGAGGGGAAGGAGGGTTAAAATGCCTTTTATTACTTTTTTCTCCAAGTACAGCTTTAATTGCAATTATAAACAGGAATGTATTTTGTTTGGGGGGGAAAAACTGGCATAGCCACTGAAGTAGAATTTGCAGTGAAATCCATTTATTTTTACAAGTGTTTGCCATCATAAATACACTTAGGTTTTAACGTTAACCGGAAGAATATAATAACTTGGTTTGTGCAGCTTTAAAATAATCCTTTATTCTAAAGCAGTGTGGACTTCTCCTAGAGTCAGGTCTAACATCCCTGTGTCCAGTGTGAGCAGTGCTAGGTGGGAGTTACAAAGTTTGCTGACCTTTCCCTGGTGCCATCGCCTCCTGGGTCTTCTGTTCCTTGGTCTGCTTCTGTATCAAGTCTGTGAATGTAAAAAGTCAATGTTACAATCCACAGCACTAATGCAGGTCTCTTGCTTTATGTGTCCTTGTGTTACTTACTGTGCAAATGGCTGATTGTCACCTCCAGCTTTACCCTCTGGCTTTGTTCTTTTTGCAGTTTATCTGAAATAATAATAGAAGGAAATCAAAGTTGATGTAAATCTCTGTATCTCTGTGCAAGGATGGCAACTTTTCCGTCCTCCACGTGTGCAGAGGGGATGTTGTTGGCTACACTGAACATTCTTCTCTGAAGGGATGTGATTTTTAGCTCTGAAGTGCCCTTTCAGTTTTGGCAGTTTTTTCTAGTGTGCCTCTATTAATTTATGGCTTATTTTAAAGCTGTTTGTGTGAGACCTGTTATGAAAATAGACCTCCCACCCATTTACTCTTAGTTGTGTTTTAAAATAGCCACGTGAAGTATGTGCGTTTCCTTGTCTCTATCTGAATTAGTGCTTTAGGACACTACTAACATGTATTTACACATTGGTAACATTCATCACCATGCAGCAGCACCTCAGACAGTAACCTAGGCAGGCTTGCCTTGCTGTGTTTGATGGGTCTGACAAGGATGCAAAAGTCCTCATCAAAGCTGAGGACTCTGAGATTTTCCTATTTTCAGGTCTCCTGTTCCATTCTTTCTTCTAGAAAAGTCACTTAAGTCTTTTAATCTAGTTGGAAATGACTTTAGGAGCTCTTTGGAAACCAGAAGCTTTCATGGCAAGCAGAGGTGTTCAGCACCTTCAGAGTGAAGCTTTTGCAAGTGCGTGTGCTTGGCTTTAAGGACCAGGATTTTAAGATTATTTTCCTTATAGCCTCCATTCACCTGGAGGACAAAACCCCCCCACTACCCTTCCCCTGCACATGATACCTTTGATGGCACTGATGTGCTCAGCCTTCAGGTGGTTGTCCTCCCGCAGGGCGCTGGCTCGCTGGTGGAGCGCCGTGTGCTCGCTCTGCAGCCTGCACAGGGTCTGGTGGAGCTGCTCATTCTGTGCATCTGCTTGCTGCGGGTGAGAACAGCCCCAGCATCAGCCCAGCTTCGAGTTGTATGTGTGACCACGGTGCTTTATCAACGGGGATTTATTATATAGAGACCTCAACCTGCGGGTTTCCAGTGGATTCCATGCGGATTCCAGTGGATGCTGTTCCTGTGAGGAACTGACATACCTGAAGTTTGCTCTGTAAAATGTGGAAGCTGTTTTCAAGCTCAGTGTGCGCTGTGGTCATCTTGGTCAATTCAGCTTTGAGGCTGGTGTAGTGCTCCTTCCAGAAGGCAAGGTCCTCTCTTGTCGCTGCCAGGCTCCTCTAGGGAGGAGAGCAAGGACCCACGAATGGGCTGTGACTGGTGGTGTGGTGGGACCATGCCAGGCTGCCCTGAATAACACCCGCAGGCGCTTGTGTGAGCTGCGTGGGGCTGGGGCAGTGCTGCCTCTGCCTGTATCAGGGTGGTTGTAATAACCTGTGTGGGGCTGATGCCATCTGATAGGCAGAGTGAACCTGGGCAGAGGGTTGGTTGTGATGCTGGGTGTATTTAAGTCTGCATATGATTTACTGGTGTTTTCTGACAGTTCCAGTTAAAGGAAACTGCTACCTGTTGAGGAGGTATAACAGAACACCTCCAGAAAAGGTGTCTCTGAAGCCCTCATGTCCCTGGATGTATGTGGCTTGTTGCTCCCTTTGTGAGTGCAGAGCAGGGAATGGGACAAAGGGGTGGTAGAGGAGAAGGGGTTACGCTTAAAATTGCCAAATAGCAGCATATTTCCACAATTTTGTGCCTTTTAGTAACTCGCTGTGTATCACAAAATGAGCACAGGTTGCCACTAAGCTGCTTTGGACTTCGCTCAGTAGCTAAAAAATGGTATTTGTGCATCTTCGTTGCTAATGGTAAGCTAGTCATCGCCTATCCCTGAAATGTGAGGGCTCTCCATCACAGTTGGACTTGATTACAGCAAATCTAGGTGTAAACCATGTTGCTTACCTGAGAGTTTTGCAGCTGCTGTTCAGTCTGGAGTTTGTCCTCCAGCATCTTCTGAAGAGCTTCTTTTGCCTTCTCCTCGTAGGTTTGCTTCTGGTCCTCCATGTCTATCAGGATCTTCTTCACACACTCCTTTGAGTAACTCTTCAAAGGAAGAATTGAAGTGCTTGAAGGCTCTTACCTGACTTACCTCTAATCTTGCTAAGCCTGAGTATCAGTAAATCCCGACTGTGTAAAAGTTACTGCTGATTTGCAGTGAAGCATTGCTTCAGCAAAGAGGAAAGATCATTTTCAGATCCATATCTAGTCAGATTGCTCTAGAAACTGAGACCTGACTTCATCACATGGTTCAGTATTCTCTTTTCATGCCTCTCTTCACCCATGTTTGTTTCTCAGTGAATCAGACATTACCTGGGTGCAAGCCTGCAGCTGATTTTCAAGCGCCCTTAGTTTGCACTTCAGTTTATCTTCGTTCAGCTGACCCTGGGGAAGAAACAGTTGAACTGATGTGTGGAATCATGAACTCTGCAATATGGCCCCAATGTTTTGTTAGCTTCTGTTTTGATTCACTTTCTTCCTTCATCTGTAACATTGTGTCTAAATTTGGCTAGAGTCTCTTCGATGCTTAGAGTTCAAGCAAGTCTTCACCATCCCAGAATAAATGGCATATGGGGGAAGTAAACTTTTATGTATAGAAAAACACTCCCAAGGCAGTTCTGCTGGTTACTGAGTGCAGCTACTTGCAGTGAGATGAGAAGAGCAAGGGCATTTCAGGTTAGTCTGGATGGGTCTGGCAGAGCACAACTGCCTGTCCCCATGTATTGCCCTGTACCTGGCTGATGACTCTCCCTGCAATGCTCCTTCTCTCAAGCTCCAGCTGGTACTAAGGTCTTGCCTTGCTGATTCCCTTAGGAAATAGCTTGGGTTTGTGTTGCAACATCTGGCAGATGGGCAGGGGGATAGAGGGCAACAGTGATTCATTTTCCTCATAATCTCCTCTCGGTGTTAGTCATACTTTTGTTTCATGAAACCAGGCTGCATGCAAATTCAGATGAAATTTCTAACAAAGAGTTCACGTAGGCTGTTTTTCCACCACCAATACTGAGAATGCTGCTATCTTCTCTGCTTACTGCTGTTTGAAGTCAAACCTCTGAAAAGCAGCTCCTTGATGTTACAGGAATAGCTGTTAGACCCAAGCAAAACCAGATTCTCTGGTATTTTAGCACTGGTTAGGTTTACACAGTACAATCCCAAAGAATAAATCTTCCCAGTTCAGTTGTCAGTACAACGAACTAAAGGCTTTCTCTTCTCAGAAAGTAGGTGGGATTTTAAAAAAGCATTTTTGTAAGTGAAATAGTATGCCTAATTTCCTCTGCAGTTTATTGTATTTTATTCTATCTGCTTGGAGGATGGTGGCCTTATGGCTATTGTGCATACATGTGAATGACCATGCAAAGTGCAAGGCAGTGGAGTGCCAGGCCCTTCGTATGCTTCACAGCAGAAGTGTGCTGGCAAACTCCTTTCATGGGGATACAGCTTATAAACTGGGGAAAAGAACCTAAAGATTTCCCTAAATGGAATAAGTTGTTTGTCAGAGCTGCTACCAGAACAGTATGGCAGTGTGGGGTGAGTGAGTGTGGGAGGAATAAGAAATGATGCTTCTGACCAGAAAAGTTATGTGAGCAAATCTTGGTGGAGCCTGTGTTGTACATTATCTACATGAAAGGGGCTGCTTTAAAATCAAAACAGCAACAAAAAAAAACACCCAAACCAACTAAAAGTTCCACCTGTAACTAAATAAAACAGCCAGAAAAAAAAAAAACAAACCAAAAACAACCATTATAGCACTGTCATCAGACGGTGGTGTCTCTTCTGCAGTGTCTCTGGTGACACTGCTTGAACAGCATCTGGGGATCCTTGCCTTGCTGTAGATCCCGAAGACACCCACTGGGAGCCAGGAAGAGGAAAGGATTAGGATTAGCATGCTAAAATACTCTTGAAATACCATATTTGAATCCTCTGTAGCCCTCTTCTTAAGAGAGTCTGAGGTTACCTGAATAGGCAGCTCCAAAACCTCTCCCAAACTCTTCTGCATTTCTCTACTGCTGTCATTTAAGTGCCATAAGTGTATTTTAAACTGATTTTGGTTGTCTTGTGATCAGTGAATTCTGATATTCCTTCCCTTATTTTAAATAGCTGGTTTAAAGCATTAATAATAAATGCTGTTTCTGGAAGGCTGCTAGTTGGCCCAAACACAATGCTTGTGCTAGCAAATCAAGTGCATGTAGTAGTAATAATGCACTGGAAATGACAAAGAGCATAAACTCTGCAGAGCTTCAACATACTTCCAAAAGTCAGGTTCAACTTCAGAGGTCAGGAAGGGAAGAAAATATATTAAAGCAGTGTCGTGGTTTAAGCCCAGCCGGCAACTTGGAACCACGCAGCCGCTCGCTCACTCCCCCCCTTTTCCTTCCTCCCCCCGCTCCCGGAGGGATGGGGGGGAGAATCGAAGGAATGTGACTAC